GCCTCCGCTACAATGATTCTCGGTTCTGTCTACAATGGTCGTAGTCGTAGTCGCTCGATAAGAATTGACCAATCGCAGTCGATTATTCTTACGACTACGACCATTGTAGACAGAACCGAGAATCATTGTAGCGGAGGCTTTAAGCCTCGTCTACATAGAAGTCGTAAAGTCGTAGTCGTAAGAATAGTCGACTATGATTGGTCAATTCTTATGTGTCTGACGGAATTGACCAATCCCAGTCGATTATTCTTACGACTACGACTCTGCGACTCGCGTTGTAGACCACGCATTACGCTCTTACCCCGGTTTTCACCAACGTCGTTTAACTTTCGTCTTACAGGTTTAATTCGTCCTTCGTCTCTTTCTAAGGGTTAGAAAGGGACAAGAGATGAATTAAGCTAAGATCAAAGTTAAACAACGTTGATGGAAATGGGCATTAGGGCAGTATTACATTTGTCGTAAGACAAACTGTTTAAACCGCGTTGATTGGCTGCAGGATAAAAAATTTCTAGATACCCGAGAATTTTACTATCCCGTGACCAATCAACATACTTGAAAGATTTGTCGTACGATAAATGTAATACCAGCCTCAGCCTAATATTACATTTGTCATACAACCAATTTTTCAACCTAGAAACAGCCGCCAAATTACACTCGAAGCGACGAGAGACTCAACGCGATGAGACGTGCTCGAACACGAGCGTCGTTTAAACAAGTAATTATCGTCCGTAATTATCGCGAGAAAAAAAATAATTTCACTCTCGGTAACCGAGCATTGATGGCAAATCGCGAGGATTCAGCGATCACGCGATGATATCGATCGCTAATTATTCGCAGGGGGCGATCGCGGTTTCTTCCCGTGCTTTTCGCAAACGCGTATTAATACATAAGAGAGAATAATACTCGTTTGACTGTCGTCGCGTAAATGATTTTGCGTACGACGTGACTATTGCTAAAGCGGTGGTTTCAAGAAATGACGTAGCGCCGTAAACACCTCGGTCGAAAACAATCTATTGTACCGAATCATTCGACGCGGATTAGTCGAACGATCGCGGACATTCCGCGTGTCTTCGCGTCGCTCCGCGTAACGCGATCAATTCCTACAATTCCTATGATTGGTTTTATACAGACAATATGTCTCGGTGGTTGAGTCGGCTGAGACGCCCGCCTCGAGTGTAGGGAAGTCCAGGTTCAAACCCTGGCTGAGGTAATATTTTTCGCAATAAATGTTCCGTATTATTAAAATTGCCAGATACGGTCAATAAAAATCTCTGATGTCATTTTCTATTAATGTTTTACATTGTAAGAGTTATTGTATGTATTATTGTTTGTATCACATGTTCATATGTAATTGTATGCCATAGGGCCGAGACGACGCATATACGCTCCGTCAGCCGCTTCTATCCTAGATTGAGATCGCGAATTGATATAATCAATATCTTAGCGCAGAAAAATCGCAGCAAGATGGTCTCGGTCTCTATATTTCTGTACCTTTGAGTACACACAATAAATATATTGAATAACAGTAATAACGACAATGTCCCGCGTCGAGAGACGCTCTGGCGTCACATACATTTCTGCTTTTATTACGCGCTACCGCGTACTCTCGTTTAATTGAGAGGAGCGCGTGATTAATTCGCTCGGTCACGTACGCACGCGGCGAACGATAATATCGCGTATACCGACTCCGAGCGCGCGAGGATTGTGAAAAATTTCAATTGCGCATCACGCGGTACAACCGGGCGATGAATCCCGGGCTTGTACGAGCTATAATCACGCGATGCGCCACGTGAGAAAAGATGTCGTAACAAATGCCCGCGAAACGGAAGACGCCCGGCAGAAACCCGCAACGCCGATTGACTCCTGATCCCGGGAGCGTGTCGCGGCTTTTCAAGCGCATCGAGAAAAATGCGTCGCGGCCAGTTTTCCTCCGGGGCATCGGGCGGGTCTCTCTCTCTCTCCCTCTCTCTTCTTCCGTTGCATTCATATAATAATCGTCCCGCGTACCCCGTGGTATTGTCCGCGGGCCACCTTCTCTCGGTCGGAACTCGCGCGAGCTCTCTCGCGGGAACCCCGCCCGATCGGAAACGGACGATAATCAGCCCTCGCTAATTGCCCGATCGTCGGAAATCGCCCGCGAGGCGACCGGCGCTTATACTTGCCGCCGCGAGGCGATATCTGACGAGCGTGATAAAGGGGGACTTGGTTTTCCGTGCCTCGCTTTTAAGCAGCGCGCTTGCCGCTACCGCGGGTTAATAAATTGCTCGGAGATGAATCCGCGGGACGGAAACCTAAAGTAAAGAATACCGCAAACGCGCGGCGAGTCCCTACAATGGGAGTATTCGAGTCTCTCAACGTCCGGCGAGGCACAGCGATGGTGTGTCTGCCCTGAGACTTCAGTCCGTCCGACGATGTCACGATTATTACACTTGAATCTTATGCCGTAATTACCGTGCGGCCGCGTAGGAGTAATTTACAATTAACTCACAATTACAATTTTCCTCGATTTAAATATTCATAAACACAGATTTATAAATGAACGTCTGGTGCAGCGTAAAGTTAAATTGCAACCTGGGACCGCTTGTAAGCTCAGATCGTAGAGATGGAAACTGGATTCTCGGAATTCCGGCGACCGCGCGCTTCGGGACCGCCGTGCCGATTTATCCGCCGCAATACCGTTCGCATGCGCCTTATTTGCAAGCCGAGAATAAGGCGGTCGTATCTTCGGGGATCTCCGCACGATTTCCCCGAGTTATCAACAACGATATTTATCGATGAGTCGTAGGAACGCGCCGCCGCTACTACGAATACTTAATTAAGAGCGTCACAATCGGCGATTAATTACGCGCGCGCCGAGTAGGCTTAATGAAGCCAATTAAGAATCTAATGTCACGGCAAGCCGTACGTGCCGATTATGCCGGAACCCTTCGGTCCGGCAAACTATCCTATCGCCGCTTATTAATACTTTACGACGCGCACTTGCGAGGCACTCGATTGATGGACGATTGAAAATATAAGGCCCACACTTTGGGAAACTCAAATGGCTAACGGGACCGCGATAGGAAAGGCGGGTATCACTTCCGATTTTTGTCCCCCGCGAGCCGATAAACACGGCCCGAGTGAATTATGCGAAATCCGCGTGGCAGATTGCGAGAAGTCTCTCGGCGACTTTGACCTCGTCGCGATCTATCATTACCAAGTGTCCGAGAAAACAGGAAGGGGACACTCGTGAATTGGATCGACGAGATGTACCGTTGTGCATTTGCACACTGAGAAAAATGTCCGATTAAATATAATCGGATAATCCAATTACATAATAACAAACGGGTATGTTCGATTAAGTTGTATATGCGATGAAAAATGTGATCGGTTTTACAATAAAATTCTATCGGTAACTGCATTTCATCGGACAAATTTCATCGGATGTATCCGTAATTTAATCGAAAACATTAACTATTGGAAACACTATTTAATTGGTTTAGCCGATTTTTCTCAGTGTGAGAAAAATGTCTGATTAAATATAATCGGATAATCCAATTACATAATAACAAACGGGTATATCCGATTAAGTTGTATATGCGATGAAAAATGTGATCGGTTTTTCAATAAAATTCTATCGGTAACTGCATTTCATCGGATAAATTAACCGACGAAACACTATTTCGTTGGTTTATCCGATGGCAAATTTTCTCAGTTTCGTTCCTCTCGTTAAACTCTTCTCTAAACGAAAGGAGAGCCAGTTAATTTTGCCCGTTCAAATCGCGTCTTACGAAAAACAAAGATAAAAGATAAGAACAAACATGTCCGTCCCTTGATAAACACCTCAATAATGCTTGTAATTTGCCGATAATCCGCGAGATAATCGGATCGCAGGGGAAAAAATGCCCGCGATCGCTGCCTTCCTGTCTGTTTATGCGCGCGGGGTTGCAACTGGCGATCGATCTGCGCCCCAAATTGCACCGTACGATATCTCGATCGCGATAAATCTGATATTTCACGCCGATTCGATGGGACGGCCGACGGCGGTCGCGATTGCTCGGCCACGGGTCGTCGTCGTTGCAGCCTGCATCGGCCAGGGAATAGGAATCCTGTTTTCGGCGGACCCATAATCGTAAAAGCCGTTGCGAACCTGTTCCCTGGGACACGTTCTTACGGTGATTCTAGCGCCGGACGCAGGCCGGCGAATCAAGATGTCCCGTGATTTTCATATCACCGACATTCTCGCCGATTCGCTCTGCCCAGGCGACAATAAAAATTACAAAGAATTGTCCGCCGCTTCTTCGTAACTTACCGTATTATCGCTTTATTATAAGTTTCGAAATTTCCACATTTCGCCGCGGTAACGATACTACTTTAACAAGCCGATCGGCCAACGAGATCAGCTACAAAACTGCCGTTGTTGATTTGCCCTTTTTAACTGCTTCCGTTCAATTCCGATGAAATCTCCAGCTCTAAGCGGTTTACTGTAATACAGTTCTAATTTATTTTTTATTTTTTCTGACACACCCCTGGTATCTTTTGCATTTATTTAAATTTAGTCTGTACACTGAAAGAAATTTCCATCGGATAAATCAATTAAATAGCGTTTCGGATGATTAATTTTTCCGATCACGTTTTCCGATTAAATTATGGATACATCCGATGAAATTTGATTGAAAAACCGATCATATTTTTCATCGGATATACAATTTAATTGGCTATATCCGTTTGTTAATATGTAATTAGATAGATAGATAGATAGATCTATCTATCTATCTAATATGTAATTGGATTATCCGATTATATTTAATCGAACATTTTTCTCAGTGTAGACAACCCTCCGATACTCAACTATCAGACTTCGAGATGCTCTGCTGTGAAATCACGATGGATCACGCTTACATACAAGTTTTTAGTTTGTCTCTTCTTTCTTTTACTCATAATCTGCGTATATTTTAATTGACGTTCTATGATTTTGATATATTATAATTCAAATTAATTTCCTTAGTGACGACTCATCACCGTTCAAAAAATGACTTAGCGTTTTTTAATCAGATTGTTAGTGAAGAGGGTCACTTTCTTGACTGAAACGTTTAACTTTATTGTATACTTGTGATGCCACCTCTTTAATGTATATACTTGAAATCTCATGTTTATTATTTATCACCTTTTAACCGGTGACGGCTCCCATTGCCCCTTATTGTCTTTCTTTTATTTTAATTATTTAAATTCTAATTAAACTCTAACATAATTGTAAAAAAAATTCCACGTTTGATTCTCGCGACTTACGTGACGCTTGAAAATATCCGTTCTGTCTGGTATTTTAACAGCTTTATTCGGCAAAGTTCAACAACATACTCGATACACTTTATGCACAAGTAACTCATACAGCAATAATGGCACGCGTTCTGTTCTGGATCATTGGCGCACAAGTTACGGTTGCTTTTCAATCGCATTGTTACAATACATTGCGTCGCAACGAAATACTCGACGTTCTACGGTAACTAGAGCCGAAGGGTTGTCTGGATTCACTGATCGTCTCCCGAGTGCATGGTGCTCAACAGAGCGAAGAAGGAGTACGAGCCTCGCAGGATCTAAAAGAAATCCACGATGACATCGATAAGACATCGATCGACCTTCCGTGATGCAATCGCGAGTGATAGACGACACGTAATTCGCGAGTACGCTGAAAAGAACGCGTTAGGCAAAGTTTCATCGAGCTGCGTGTGCGTTCAGTCAAAATATCCAAATTACTTTGCGCGCGGGTCACTTGGTGTATACGCGAGAAAATCATCGGGGTTATTGCGTAGACTTTAAGACTCTTTGCCATTAAGACTTCGTACTTTGACGGTGTCTCCAGGCACTCTGTGGCAGACAATCGCGCGCGACCATCGATTTAATACGCGGTTGTTCGCCAAGGATGGGCGGAGAACACGCTTCGCCTCTCTGCACGTGCTAGAGACGCGTTTTGCTCGTCGTGTTCTCCCTGGACTCTTATGGAGTACCATTCACTTGCGGCGTTCCATTCTTTCGTCTCGATTTGCTTACGGCTGTCGACATCAGCTCGCCGCGGGTGACAAGAAGCGGAATCGGCACGCGTACGAAGCAATAGCGTATAAAAGAAGAAATACAGTATTTAACCCTTTCGAATTATTTGTTGTTAAGTTTCTGTTGCTGCAATTTTTTTTTCAGTAATAGAATACATGTTAGATTGTTGAATCTTTTCAAATTTTGTAAGTGGGACTCACACGTACCATTAGTCATGAAGGGGTCTTAAGTTATCGACGCTCCGGTGAAATGCGGCTTCTAACTCGTGAATCATATTTTTTTGAGCCAAGATCTCGTCGAGGTTCGTTCGATTTCGCTGGAAAGTTCGCGGGATAGTCGCGCGAGATAAGCACTTCGGTCTCTATAAATTCAGTCTTTCCCTTCGAATGCCTGCCCGATGACTTTAATTTCGTTTAATTGCCGCGATCTCACCCGACACTTTTCCACCGCGCGTATCGGAAGTATCACGCGATACTCAACCGGTCCGAGGATACGCGATAGGTCGCCGTTGCGACTTGTACTCACCGCGGTGAACGTCTCCATGGATAAGACGTAGAACACGCCTGCTTTCAGATTTATTGCTTTTCTTGAAAATATTATAGACAGTATTAGCAGGCGTCCTGTCTTGACGGAGAGTGCGTCATCCCATTTCGAGAGCCACTGGCTTTGCGTCAACGACGAGCTCTGTAAGATCGTGAATTCGGCGCGATGTGAAAGTTCGCCTTAACTGTACCTATTATACATTCAGATAAATTGCACGTGCCAATTACCGGCTGTAATCCCGTAGAAATCGTAAGTTTTATTAAAGCGCAATTTTTATCGACTTTCCATCTTTTCGTTATATTATGGGTGACGTGTCTTTATTGACGTCGTGAAGAACGAGCGGTAAAAATAAATAGTAAAGAATAAAAATGGATTTCGTATTTGCTCGATTACGTTTCTAAAATCCCACACTGAAAAAACAATCCGATAGATTTAACCAGTCGTCTGTTAAAAAATGGACGAAGCAGAATTCCTTTAGGATTTACCAGATGTGTAGTGAAGTCTAGCAAACTTCTGGTTATGAAATATCTTTCATGGTAAATCCTAAAGGAATTCTGATTCGTCCATTTCCTAACAGACGACTGGTTGAATCTATCAGATATTTTTTTCAGTGTACATTTCGCAAGTGGATTCCGTTTTTATCCTCGAGATCGCAACGCACCGAATTCATCGCGTATAACTTCCAGATTATGCTTTTAAATGTGCTGATAAAAGAAATCGTGCCGCATAACTTGGAGTAGCGGTAGAGTATTGATAAAAGAACGGCACACGTCGGGTAGATACAATCGCACCTGGTGTATCACCTCGTTTCCTAACCAACAGAAGTAGAAAAGCTGCGAAACAGCCGCCAACAGGTACACCGCGAACTTATAGGTGTTGGAGCTCTGGCCTGTGACCTGGTCGAAACAAAGCGGGGCTCTGATCACGAACTGGCCGCGACTTGGCGCTTTGACTTATCACGACTCACCGAGGCGGCCTGGAAGCCGGTTAGGCAAATCATCGAGGTGCTCGAGAGCATCTGAACGAACATGCCGGCGCTGAAGACCTCGTTGAAGTCGTCTATTACGGCAAGCAGACGTTGATGATTGCGGACGGATCGGTTGAACCGCACGGTGAAGCCGCGACGAATCGCGTCCGGATCGTAATTATCCTTTCCGCAGCTGGCCTCGGCCGTAGAAGGTACCCCGTAACAAGCATCTCTACCGGTGCCACCTGATTCATCTCGCTTATCGACACCGTCTGGCGTCCCGTCGCTGCTGCCGCAGCTCTTAAAATGCGCGTTCAAGATCTCGAGCTGCACGAGAAACAAATTGCACAGATTGATGAGCACGCTGTCCATCCCGATGATGGCGGTCATGCCGAAAGAGACGGCGCAGGCCTCGACAAAGTAGCCGATCCCGTGCCAGGGATACACGCTCGTGTCGAACGGGTACCGCGCCCTGACCGGGAGCTCCCCGTTCTCCACGGGCACAAAGAACAGTAGGGCGATCACGAGGCAGAAGCCCAGGACGCTGAACCCGTAGAAGGTCCCGCGGCAGAGCAGCAGGTATTTGTCCAGGACCTCGTCTTCGCCGCCAACTGAAATGGACAATTAAAACTCGGAGTATCGGTCGATTATGTCTGCCAGTTACGAGCAGACGCGTGACAGCGTAGACAGATCGAAGCTTCAGATCGGGTGACATTCCAAGGGAAAGTACGAAAGTATCGTTTTCACCGTCACTATCGCCGGTGTGTACTTCGCGTCTCGCGGTTTCGCGATATTAGAATTAGCGAAACCTGATACACGCGATTTCAACGAAACGTTACGTGTCGCGGATGCATGTATCAGGCGTGATTATGCAAACTGCCGAGTAATTCCGCGTGAATGAGTCGCGTGGATCCTTAATCGCGTGTCAAGGGGGATACGTCGCGAGAAGGACTGGCAGAGACAGATCCGGCGGGAAAACTTCCTCGAGTGGTCCTGAATTAACGGAGAAGTCGACGAGCTACGATGGCCCTTTCGCAGTGTCCCTTTCGACGTGCCATGCGGATCTCATTAAAACGCAAAATTACGCGTCGTCCTGTCATCGTGTTTGCTTAACACGAGGATATGTATATTATGTGACTTGGCACTAAAGCCATTTACATGACATTTCACTCCTCCGCGGGTTGCAACAATTCAATATTCGCTCAAGAACGGCCGCATATTAACAGTAACACATAGACACGTCGTTGGGTAAATACGAAACAAGTATCGCCGACGATAAAATTGCGCGACCCGCGAAATTTCGAGTAGTATTTTATTCAACACATAAAACATTCGGTCATTCTCGGATTTCTTTCACCACATCGGTTTCCCCCGCAATGCCGGTTAACAGAAACGCCGGTAGTTGGACTCACTGGGAAACTTGCAGAGCCGTTTGCAGCTGTCGAGGGTCGCGTCGAGCACTCGTACGATCCCGTCACGGCGAGTCTGGAAGAGCATCACCTTGCAGAACACGACGACGATCCCGGCGAAGATGCATCCGTCGTCCGTGACGATCGACAGGTCGTCGAAACTCGAGCAAATGTCGGCGAACAGGGACACCATGAAGACGAGTATGATCGCCAGGACGAACTTGTTGTACACGTGATACAAGTACCTCAGGAACGCGGGCGAATTCGAGTCGAGAGCCCACAAGCCGACGTACCTGTGCGTGAAATTTTTACAATCGGAGGGGGGGGGGAGTGAATTCGTGATCGGCTCGCGGGGATCACGCGAACGATACGGGTACACAATCGTCCGGTGTAAATGAGAGCATCCGAGACGCGTGACAAACGATCGGTCGAGTCCACGCCCGCGCGTGATAAGATCTACAGCAGTTCTCACTTCAGGCAAGTGAGGCGCATAACGCTCAACTTCCGGAACTGTTCCACACGGCTGTCGGTCGTTCCTCGTGTCATCCCTGCTAGTCCGCTCCGTGGCCACGACGACGGTAAAGGACACGCTGCGCACAGGGCATGGGAGGTCACCTATGTCGCGTGGGTGCGATTCCTCGAGCGATGTACGCGTGTGTGTGTGTGTGCCAAAGTACTCGTTCTCGAGGGTGGTTCGGATCTGTACTTTCCCTCGCTACGCTAGAGAAAATTGCCCGTGATAAACGGGACGCAGATTGTACTGTCGTCGTTTTTTTTCTCAAATTATAGACACTCGCTCGTCGCGGCAATGTCTTCCACCTCGGCAATAATTTAAGAAAATGGCGGTAATTGCAACGCCGCGCCGCCACAGTCCGGCGCGATTCGTTTCGTTCCTAAGCGCCTTGTACATCGCTACGATATAAGAGGCCAATACAGAAACAATTTATCAAACCGCACATTCGCAAGCGGCTCAAATCGTCTGTCGTTTTCCACTTAGCGAAATAACCGACTCGACTGCAAATCTAACAATGTGTGTTTTGCCGTAGGACGATTCGATCGGTTGTATTGTCAAGCTGCAGTATTGTCAGTTATTTCGCGATTGCGCGTACAACGACGTCGTGATTTATTAGCGACGCGAGAGCCAAGAGAAATCGCTTTGAGAGGTCTTTTTATAATAAAACAATTAAACGGTTGTATTAATCTTTAAAATTATAATTTACTTTTATACACTTGATATTTTCAATTGTAATTTGCTTTCATACATTTAATTCTATATATTTTCTTTAATATCAATTTAATCACAGTTTTATTCGAGATCCACTAACGTACGGTTGCTGCTCGAAAATTTTAGAAATTGACATCGCTATTAAAAATCCACTGACTACCGAGACATATATGACATGAATTTGCTGCCACAGACTCATAAAACTCATTCTGTTTCGGCATAAATTAATTTGTTCAGCTAACATTAGATTGTGTTTGAAAAGGACCTGATAAAAAGGTCGAAATTGTTGTGACTTAAATATATATCACTTTTTATGCAAGTTTGGTCGATTTTTAAAAGAATTTCCTCGTGTTAATTACCACTGGCGACAATAAGCCTCGCTCAATTTGGTTAATTACAATTTGCATTTTTATACAATTACAAAATGAAATTTCAACGGGAGTGCAATTACAAAATTGCAATGTGTTTAAAATTTAATGGTAAAAAGAAAAAAATTCCGGTACCGGGAATCGAACCCGAGCCTCCTGGGTGAGAGCCAGGTATCCTAGCCACTAGACCATACCGGATCACGAAATGCATTTTCTTAGATCCGGGAGAAATGTGTGGCTATAGCATATTGATTTAGAAATTTATATATCTTTTATATTTTTATAGTTTCTAAATAACATCGTTAGACAATTACAATAATATCTCACAGCAATTCTAGAAAAGATTTCTTACAAATAGTTAATCATGAATGGAAAATTATCTATATTTTATATCGGGTAATATAAATAATGCCAATATTAATAATAATTATTATTATACTGCACATAACTGCTGCACGAATAATTAGCAGGAAAATTATTTTTAAAAGAGTAAAAAAAATATCGTCCGTACTGAGATTCGAACCATCGACGTTCAAATGACGCATACCTTCACGGTAAACTCGACGCTTCGAGCATTGCATTTGTTAATTACCGAGACAAAAAATAAAATCAACAATTGCAAATCGTATGACAACGAAGCAAAAGAATTTGTCAGAAGTGGGATTCGAACCCACGCCCTCAGAGAGGACCAGAAAGCCCTGAACTCGGTCTCAAACCGAGAAGGTGTGAACCTTGAGTCTGGCGCCTTAGACCGCTCGGCCATCCTGACAACTGAGGAGGTATTCTGTTAATAATACAGATAAACTGCACACACCAAAGTGCACGCATCAAATTTATTTACTTCACGATGCACACGAATAATAATTATAACATTTTCGACAAAATGTATACAAAAATTAATTATATTTACCATAAATTTCATGAAAAATTTTTTCATTTACAAAATGCGTACGAGATCGAAGACGGTAAAAAAATTTTTTTAAATAAACTCGAGAGCCATTTAACTGATTATCTGTAACTACGTTGTTTATTTACGATGTTTGCGGGAACAAAAGAATTTGTCAGAAGTGGGATTCGAACCCACGCCCTCAGAGAGGACCAGAAAACCCGAGGAACTCGGTCTTGAACCGAGAAGGTGTGAACCTTGAGTCTGGCGCCTTAGACCGCTCGGCCATCCTGACAGTTAAGCCCCTCTTCCCTAATTTAAACATTTAAACATTTTTTACAATATATACGTATAATTGTATTGCACATTAATATTGTCTTTCAGAAGTTACAAATTAAGAATTTTCTTATTATTTATATTACAGACGCACTACCTTCAAAATATAAAGTTTGTTACTATTAAATCTAACTACTTATTTAATCTAAATTATGCTAGTTACATATTTTATAAGAGGAATAAATTTAAAATTTTAAAATACGTTTTGAAACAAAATTTACAACATAATGGCAAAAAAAAAAGATATGTTTCCGCCCGGGATCGAACCGGGGACCTTGTGCGTGTGAAGCACACGTGATAACCACTACACTACGGAAACTTACAAGAGCCGTTGCTTCTGACACGAAACATAAGGCACCTGCAAGCATTTCAAGAATATGAAACTTTCTTGATATGGTATTATCTTATAATTAAAAAAATGTATTCAAATGTTATAATGAAAAACATATGTCAAAACTGTATATATAGAAAAATTTATAATTAATATATTTATAAGAACTTTTACTTGTCACGCTAACATATATTATAGCAATCGTTAAATATGCTATTTTGTATCAAGAAATAACATTAAGCTCTTTCGCTAATCAATCTCGTCTAGCTTACTAATAATGAAATAAGTAATAAGAGATAAGTATCACATGATAGAATTTATAAGTCTAAGATTAGAATTGTTAGATTGATAAATAAGATAGATTTTATAGTACATTTTGCAGTACAGATGAAAGGCACTAATTTAGCAATTTTGTAAATTATAATGATTATTATAATAATAGCAATTTAATAAAATGCCACGCTGTTATACTCACAGATAAGTCCGTGGGATTGAATATGCTATCATGACGGTTGGCACGCCGGAGATACTTCGGTATCCTTTGAGTTGTAAATTCGAAACAGTGACATTAAATCGAAGCTGTTGGACCATCGCTTCGGCGAATCTGCGAAATACCTGCAGCACTTCTCTCCTGATTTTCGTTACGGTGCAGGGATTTACAGTCCAATTCGAACAATGGTACAGAGTTTACGACAGAAATTAACGTGAGTTACGGCTACAGACTTCTACAGGGTGGCCTATTACAAGTGACGGATTGATTCTTCTCGTGAGCCAAGGCTCGTACCTAAAAACGTTTCAAAGGTTGTTTTATTCTAAGGGGGGACATAAAATGTTACCGTTGGTTTGGCCTTGAATAAACGTGTCAAGGTCACATGAAGGTAACCTGTGTCTTTTTAAATGGAACCCCTTATTTTTCATTAGACATTCTTGTAGCTCAACTCAAGAGCTTTCGGTCAGTGACAGACACTATACACGTGATACTTCATTTACCTAACAAGACATAAAGGGTGGAACTCTTGCCTCGCTTTTCAGCTTGAAGGTAGCAGTCTCTCTCTAGTAGTATAATAGAAGAAAATCCCTTATTATGAGATAAACTTCTAATATGAGATAACAGGTTTTTTCAACATCCAAATTCAATCACAAATCTTTCTACGCAACGATTACACGATTTAACAATAAATGTTGTTTTAAAAAAATCAACAGATAATGCTTATTAATTTAACAGAAACTCCGTTACCTCATATTAGAAGTTTATCTCATAATAACTTTCTTGTATGTATGTAGAAGTCTGTGGTTACAGCTCGTCAGTGCTCATAGCTACCGATCGCGGTACGTTTTCTCACTCAATATTGTATCGACAGTTAATACGTTCGTGCTTTAACCCGCAGCAGGCATGAACTTGGATCCGGTTTCATCGACGTTGTTTGACTTTAATCTTACAATTTATAGTTTAATTAATTTTTGTTTCTTTATAAAGGGAAAGAGATGAAAGAGAAATCAAGCTAAGATTAAAGCGGCATTGGTGAAACCGGACCTCAGAAAGTTTTACCAAAATTTGTAATAATTAATTGGAATTTTTATCTTGTAGAATGTGCACTCATAAAATGCGTACTTTCCATAAAGTCACCCTAGAGGAGCATTTTACGTCTGGCATAAATAATAATTAATTTCTATCATGCCCCAAAGAAAACAGTTTTAATGTTGAGATTTGTAAGCAGCGCAGGCGCTTGAGACGTGTGTTTAATTAAAAATGCATAGCTCGAACGTTCTCACGGATTTCCGAGTTGGTGAAGTCGCGTCCGCGTGCAAAGACGTTAATTTTTTCTCTCGCATCCCGAAATTTTGTCCCAGACGTAACGACTGCCCCTGCCTCGCTCTCGGCCACTTTTCTCGAAACTCATTTAGCGCATTTATTCCACGAAGCACCTTTCCCGCGGCCAGTTTTGGTTAAAGGGGAGAAAGGACCAGTTTATACTTATATACTCTTAAGATCAATTTCGAGGGCGAGCAGTACAGACGTTTAATGAACGTAATTCGCCGATGATTAAAATAAATTATCGCCCCGAGTTGTCATAGATTCTAAATTGCCACATAATGTCTGACGACGCCTGGTCGCGGATCGGTGCGCGATCATCGAGTACCGAACTCACCGTCGCCGAGAGATTAGTCTTTGAGACGCGTGGCTATCAATTCGTGGCTATCGCACCGTGAAACACACTTCTCGGACACTCGACGGGCGAGAATTTAGGACGATTCGGTATACCGATAACGTTATGCGACGCACGCACTTGCACACGTCCTGGAAACGCGGTCGCGCGACGCAGCTAGGGCCCTTGGCGGATATTAATGGTGCGGAGGATGCATTTGCATTCCCATATATCCGCGGCCTCACCGCATTGACTCCGATAACAATTTGACAGCGAAACGCTTTACAATCACCGGCAGATATGTCGCATGCGTGTAATCTACCGGACGTTAATTCGGATTTCGTAACGTACTTAACGTTTCTCTTAACGAGAATTTGATAAGAGATCATTTATTCTAACTTTTGTTGAAGCAACGACTGTCTCTCGTATTGTAACAATATTTCTCAATAACAGGACACTCGGCACGTTTTGGTACACAGTATTACGAGAAGGTCGCGCGATAGGATTTATTCCGATTTAGAAAGCCAAACATATAAAATCTATCTCATCCTCGCTCATGTAGGCCACGTTCAAATTTATGAAAGTCGCTTTTTAGATACTGATCTACGAAAGTCAACTTTCGAGGCGTATATACACATACATATGTGCGAAAAAAAAATTTAACTTTTCAATATGTCCACGGGATGATCGATCGTCAGACTGAGAGAATTACGTAATAATAAATTTATTTACAAAATTATACAATACATAATATGTCGGAAGTGGATCGAGACGATCTTATCGAGCAGAGATCGAGAATCGTAATGATCGGTGAATAACGTAAAATAATCGAGACCGTTCCACGCCTGACGAATGCTCGCTCAGCCGAAAAAAGTGCGGACGAAACACTTTCTGATGGGAAATTATATAATATTAATTTCAAAACGCAGTGTGTATAATAAGATACAAACGATTCTGAATTAGAGGTATGCCAGTCGCCTTGAATTCGTATCACTGAGGATTCGTTTCGCTTTCGAATCAGAAATTCGAAAGCGTCGATCGACGATTTAATTTCGAATTGATAATTTCTTTCCTCCGTCAAATGTGTAATAAGTTTTGTGATGCAATAGTACATTATTTTTTAAATAAACACTGTTACTGGGAAAACGGTCAGGTTTATTTTCAAATCAACATCTAACGAATTCAGGAAAGATTGATTTGAATTCGAACGTGAAAAAATTCGATTCGATTCAATGATACAAAAGTATGATTCGCATGCCTCTATTCTAAATGTAAGTATAAGAGCGTAAGAGAGATTCGTCATGGTTTCTTTCTAGCAAAAAATTTCAGCAGTGCGAGAATTAGTAGTACGAGGAACGTTCCTTTCGATAACCGAGTAGCCGAGTAAACTAACGTGTAACTGCGGAGTGCAGCGAAATATTATGCACATTATTGATTCGGGAAATACAACGATTGAGCAGTCCGCCATGTTGCAAGAACCCCAACGTATCCTAATCAGACTCATAATTTTCCAACGGTATAATTAATTTTCTGACTGCATCCGTCGTTAACCAGAAGCCGCGTTGCCTGTGAAATAAATTTGAACACACGCTGCTTAATGTACAGCAATCGAGCGTTCCTATTCGCAAGCCTCTAAGCTCTCTTATCGAGTAAACCAGAACGAAACAATCGTACCGTGTTTTATTATGTCGTCGACGTGATACTTGCTACATCAATTGTTGACATAACACAATGTTGAGCAGCATGCAAATATACGCTTTCGCGCGCGAGATTTCCGGCGATATTACATCTAGATATTAAATTACAATATAATATCAGCTTGGAACTACTGTAATAAATACAAAATGGATAAATCGCATGCAGTTAAATTCATCCGAAGATACATTTCTTAGCGAGTACAATTGTCATCAAACGTATTTTTAAGTTGTCCGATAAACAAATGTACCGAATGTATCGTTAAAATGTAGCAATATGTTTTCTATAAAAATACAGAAGAGGTAATTGCTTCACGCAGAGAAACTATTATCACATTACTATCTATAGATGAGATAGGAGAGATTATACTGTGTTAAAATAGAGAAACTCGACTTTATACAGTCTAGCGTGAACGTCTCTGTGACGAAGTGCTACGCGGAGACGTGATATATGAAACGTAGAATAAAAGATTCAAATCGTCCGTAAGTATACACGATAAAAAATAAAGCCTGTACTCAGTAAGAAACTCATTTTTTCCTCTTGTCGCAGTCGGTCGTCTTTTGAATTATCAGTTTATTTCGCTGCCTCGTTACTTTGGTCGTCGATCGAGTACTCGGCGTGATTTGCCTCAATCCCTGCTGCAGAGCTCTGCAGGGGCTAGCTGCGCGCGGTGGTGTCGCACCCTTGAGAAGAGCCTCGACGTCCGCCAATCGTTTCTTCAGTGCCCTATTCTCCTTTTTGTACCTCACAAGCTCGGAATCTTTGTCCAATCGCTCGTAACCGGAGCTGCTGGTCTCCTCCGCAAAGTGCCTGAACACGTGATGCAGCTTGTCCTCGTACTGCCGCTGCAGCAAGATCATTCGTTTCTCGGCCTCCATCAGCCTCCAATCCTGATTCGCAATGTGGGCCTCGAGCTCGGTTATCTGAATCTCCAGATTCTTCGAGCTCTCCTTCAAGTCGATCACCTTGCGGAAATACTTCATAAATAACGTTATTATTTCACCGTGCGAGAGCTTCTTCAAGCGTTCCGTCAGCATTCTCTCGCCCTTCTCGCGCTGGGATTGATTCTCGTCGAAATCCTTCCGGCCACAAATCATCTCGTTCTTGTGCTCGATCATCGCATCGATAGCTTCGATAGTCTCACCGCATTCTAGCAGTTTACGTTCCTCCACTATCGTCAAGGTCCGCTCCTTTTGGAACTTCTCATCTAAGTCGCATTTCTCGTCCACCAAACAGTCCCGAGTGCGCCTCAAGTTTCTGATCTCGTGCCGCAACGCCTCCTTCTCGTCCATGTCCGCGGTTCTCTCCAGATCCATGGATTTCTCTTTCAGAACGTGGTCCAGATGAGATATCCTTGCGTTCACGTCCAGCAAGTTCTTCATCTTGTCCGAGCAATCGGTCTTCGATTTCGTATTGTGTTTCTCGTCTTCGCTCTCCGATTGCATCTCCTTCAACTTGGACGCGGTTAAATTATACTTTTCTTCAAGTTCGCGAATCTTCTGCTGATCCTTAGCGAGCTCGTCCTCCAGTTGCTTCTTACGTTCCTCTTCTCTCTTTAATTGCCGCTTCAATTTGTCCATTTGCTTCTTAGATGTATTTAACGAGGCTTCTAGTTCCAAAACCTTCTTCGCAGAGTCACCCGCGATTTGCTTAATCATATCTATATCCATCATTCGTTTCTCGTAATGTATCGCTATGTGTTTCATTAATTCAATCTCCTTCTTGTGCGCCTTTTCGTCAGTATCCTTGTACATAGACGCATTTTCCGCTTGCGCCAGCTGTGTTCTCGTGTTGTAATATTCCTCTTCCAACTTACTACGTTTACGTTGGAACCTCTGCTTCGCGCTAGTGCGCGTGTCGGAATTCTTTATCATATCCGCTATGAAACGTTGCTTAATCTTAATCGTCGTCTGCAGTTCCTCGATACGCTTGTGCGCCCCATCCAGATTTGACTGAATCTTCTTCACTTGCGTCTGTTTCGCCTCGTTATTCAGCGTTAGAGCCTTCAACTCCTTGATAGGCTCGGACACTTCCGTGTTCTTGAGGGCGTCGAGCAACAAGTCGGGCGAATTGTCATTTTGTATCGCCACGAAATTATCGTTGATGATATTGTCGTTAATGTTTATCTCCAACTCGCGATTATTCAATACGTACGGACTCATATATTCCGGGATGCGATTTTCGAGGATTTGATTTTGGCAAGGCTTCAGGCTGTCGTTAAAAGCCAACACCTCGTTGCACATATCGGAGCCGGGCAGCATCGAGTTTCTCCTGGAATTCGGATTTCTCGCCGGTGCAGGACGAGGCACCGGTACGTAATTATTATTTACGGATCTCGTCACCGGGGATACAATTTCAACGTTCGCTTCTCTGAAATCATCCTTTATAGAATCGACAATTCCGTCCGTCTCGATCTTAAACTTACTCATACACTCGTCCAGCTTCTCGAGGAAATCTGGATTTTCCGAACTCACGTCGCTCTGATCGTCATCCTCCTCCTCGTCCTCGTCGTCTTCGTCGTCGTCGTCAACTTCGGACAGCTCGCTCTCCGAACTGGAGGTGCAATTGCGATCAACCCTGAGCTTGGTTTGATTCCCAGACTCGTCCGTCTTCTCGTCGGTCTCGGTCACCTCCTCGATGCGCTCCAACGACCTTCTGGCGTTCTCCGCGTACCCCTGCAAGCTGGTGGTCTCGTCGCTGGCTATGCACTCCTCGTACTCCTGCTTCATGCACAGCCACTGCTCGATCTGGTCCTGATCGGTGTGCGGCAGAACGTTACTCGTCATGAGCTTCGTGAACAGACCCTCCGCATTGGAGACCAGCTTGGACCATTGGGACGCCGCGAACTCCAACCTGAAGAGATCCGCGCTGGAGCTACGTTCGCCGGAGGTAGCGGGCGTCATCGTGTCGTGCGCCTCCTCGCCAGCATGCTCGGTTTCCTCCTCGGTCAGCGGATGACGCTCGTGATCTTGGTAGGACGGCATCACGTCAATATACGACGGCACGCAACATTGATGATCCGATATCGGCTGATGTTGAATCCACGGGCTGTAATGCATCATTTTACTCGCCCCGTACGATCTCGCCTAGCGAGGCGCTCGTCCGCTGGAACACGAGCCGATCTGCACCTGCAAAATGTTACTCGTTCTGTCATCTGTTCCAGATTGATCGGGCAAAGCCGTCGCGACATGTAAGAGCTGTTCCACTCTCACTCGAGGGTGAGATATTAAACTTTATATGAAAAGGAGAGTCCAATGAAACTACGGTAGGGCCTTAGCAGAATGGCAATCTTATATTCTTGAAGCCTGATCTACAATGTGCACCTTGCATCTACAAACTGCTATTTTGTAGCTACTCAGTACGTTTAAAAAATGTATGCAAGTTGATAAATTGTATATTATATATTGTACAATCGTACGTTGTCGACAAATTTGTTTGCGTATTGATTTGCTTACACAAAATAGATTCTAATCGCAAAGAGAACTGTAGAATGTAGATCAAGTTTAACAAGAACTTGAGACATAAAACTTAAAAGTGCAAGACAGCCATCCTCCTCAGGTCCTAACCTTCTTGTGCCTCGAGTCTTAAATGTAATATATAAAAACAATACTCTGCAAGCTTGCAAGGTGTCCAGAAACAA